AAATCACCCACTCCCAAGCTACTTTCAGTTCACGAAATTTCGGTGGCGAAGTGCAAATTTGTCACTCCCTATACAAAATTATGAGTGCGGTCAACGCACTTTTCATGCAAAAATAGTAGATTTGAAATTACAAAGTTGAGGTCCCGAAATTTTGAGAAGTATGAGTAATTGAAAAGTTTCAATTTCATAACCTTGAAACTATGGAAACTATAACTTGTCTGAAGAATGAGTTGTCCTCGATATGGATTCATTTTCACTCTTCAGTACTACCGGTTTCACTGGAGATTGCATTCACATTTTAAATATGAATCAGAAATTCATTAGGTATTTTATTTTTCCATGTTTGGTTATGACAAGAATCAAATGATTGGTTTATGAACTGTTGTCCATAGAAGGTAACAAATTGATGAGAGATAAGAAGATAAGCTGATTTCCCATAAATGAAATCATTTATTTGATTCATAATATTCAGTAGTCATGTACCTACCATCTGGTTGTTGACACAACCCACTGCGAAAAATCAAACGCGAGTTGAGAGGAATGAAAAGTAGCTAAAATAGGTCGATTTGTAGGTGTTATGGAAGGCAAAATATAAGCACAGTCATATACGGTCGTCGACTACGTGTTGATGGGAGTATTTCATGAATATTTATTGATAGTTCAGACATTTTATTCTGTTCAACTTCTACATATTGCCAAATCTGTTGCTTAAATGTATCAATTTTCATTAGCCGCATGTTCCTCAGATAGTAAAATGTATATGAAAACATGGAGAAATGGAATAATCAGCCCGCTTAGATTTTTTTTCACCAAAATATAATTTTGAAATGGCGATTGTGATTGAGTTGATTGAAGGAAACAAGTAGTGAAAGTTACTGTCCCGCTGAATATGCCAGTTTGACAGAGTACTCACATTATTGTAGAATAAAAACTATTTTTGAACCTCGCTTCTTAGTGAGAGCACACAAGCAAAAATATATAGGTATTTTAGGACCAACTTTAGGATTTCAACAAATAAGATTCAGCAGAAAATTGGCCAAAACTATTTTATAAAAAAATGACTGACAGTTTTTAGCATAATGTTCATTGTTCTTTCTGATTATAAAAGTGACTCAATTAACAGTTGCCCCATTGAATTAGTGAGATGTACATACGTCTAGAGTATTTCTGTTCGAGGAACCGAACTTTTACGAACGCCAGCTCATAATGATAACATCGCTCAATGAGGGGAAACATTCTTTTAGAGGACGTAAAATGAGCATAGCTTGTAGATAAATTAGACCGAGCGAGGTGAGATATATTAACACGCCAAGATCCATAAACGCTAATTACGCCCGAACATACAATATTTTAATCACAACCGTTTCAGACATTGTAACTATGGAATATATTTAGCGATTTCATGAAAGGCACTGGCAAAGAAATATTGTATGGTACTTGAAATTACTGAAAAAAACAGTGCATTCACATTACCACCCGTTCAGCTACTTTAACGCTTGCCGGTTGTGCATTATTTGCTTCAGGATTTTATTTCATTGATCAATATGAAGGATAAACAGGTTAGTTGTTAAAAAATAGTGTGAGGGTCACTTTATAAAAAACTTTAAGACTTTAGATTCATCACCTAACATTCAAAGCTTTTCACTTATGACAGATGGAACAAGGAAATATCATTTGTTGTTAAAACCCCATTTCAAATTTATGATTTTACATTCAAAATTCAAGAAACTGAACAAATTCCAACATGAGAAGTGGATGATAAATGACCGAAATGGAATATGGAGTGTGCAATTGTGCATGTTCGTATGCAACCAAAAGTGACATCCCAATTTCCCGCCATTCAAAATATCTTTGGTTTGTTCGTTATTCCTGAAGATTTGTTTTTCTATCTAATTATCATTAGAGTTTTTTTATCGCTTGGAGCGCACGAAAGGAAACCCCTACAATGTTCAAAGAACATCGCGCGCACCTAGGGAAGATAGAGAATGGAGGTAGGTATTGGAATTTTGTAAGAGTAATTCTATTTGAATCAATTGAAAAATATGGATACTGTAGTTTTTCAAATACACTTGAATGTCACCTGAGCTATATTCAAGGATTTGGTTGAACTATAGCATCCATATTTGGCAAAAGATGAAAATATCCTAGGGGTGGTCAATTTCTGTTATGCAATGAATAGTGGTTATTGTCAAAATAATACGGAGATATAAAGGATATATGTGTATAAATTAATAGAATGAAAAATAAATTAATAGAATAATACAGATCATGCATTTTTTGATTTCTTACCACTGTTTCTAACTTGCTAACCTTTGAAAAATTGGCTCTGTATAAAAAATCAGATGTCAGTAATGACATTTCATTTTTCTTCGGCTATAACACAAAATTGTTCTTGTTTCACTGTGTTCGATAAAGCAATGAGGTACTTTGTATGTCATCAATTTTATTTCCGTATCTGATATCACAATCATTGTTTCATCATTTCACAAAACCTCATCTTCCACGAAATGTCAGATTTCAATTAATGACAGCTCTGTCTAGTCTAGTAGATGGTGCATTTCTTAAGAGAAAATCAGATGGCAACAAGCCGAAAGAATCAAAATTTTCTGTGTTATCCGTTACAGCCTTAGCAAAAGTATAGTGTATAACTCGTACGGGATGCTAATTTTCCGCTGGTACCATTCCGTGCTCGTTAGACAATATACTATATCCCCATATTCTTCTTTTTTTATAACAGAATCCACTTATCATGTCTTGGGGAGTTTCAAGTCCTAAATTTTTATAAGAACGTCGAATCAATAAAATATATCAAAGATGTAATCATTGCGAGCTGTCGTTCGTGTAAGTTCCATTACTCATATTGTGAGAGGTTTACAACTATTGAAGATACATGTCGAGTATTATGTTGGTTTTGTATGTACAGGGCGAGCCTCTTAAAATGGAACCCCCTCAACCCTTTTTTTTTCAGATATGAAAAAATGTTGAATGAAAAAGTTTTTTGAAACGACCCAAACTTTCGTGAAATTGTTTAATTTATAAATTCCTTGAAATCAGAAAAAAGAGCTCTATCGGCATGTCAGAAAATATATAGGGTGTTCCATTGAAAAAAAGTTAATGTCCTTTCCGCAAAAACGAATGACCCTGTATATAAAGCAACTTCTTGAAATAAGAGTTTGGGTCGTTTCAAACAACTTTTTTATTTAACATTTTCTCACATCTCTGAAAACAAAAGAGTTAAGGAGGGGTTCCATTTCAAGAGGCGCACCCTGTACAGAATATTGACTGTGTATTTCAGTAAAAGTGACTAACACATTTTGTAACATGGCAAAATTATCACATCACGAATTATATAAGAAAACTGAATTTGAGAGAACTTGCAATAGCTTGATGTAATCATCCTCACCCAACCACATTTATGGACAATGGTTGAAGCAAGAAAAAAATCATCTTTCTTGCCGCTGTTTCGTCATTTGGGACCTACCGCGAAATAGTTTGTATTTGAACATTACTAATTATGTATGTGTGTATGTGTAAGTATATTCGTAGGTTAAATACTGATGAATTTAGTGCGAGGTGAATGAGCAAACTACTGAAGAATTCAAAAATATTACACCATGTGGAAAAACATTCTATAGTTCAATTCACCGCTCTTGGCGTGTAACATGAAATAAGATGCGAACTATGGTCTAGCCTTCTATCTCTCTTTTACCCAATGAAACTACCAACTCATAAACGTGGACGCCTGATTGAGAAACCCGGACTAATACCACACAAATGGCAATATATCGCTGGACGTTTACTTAGTTCTCGTGGTGGTGATGATGTATATGCCTCGGTAGTCTGGGGCCACACAGCTAAATCTCATATCACCTTGGTATGTTCGAAATAACCAGATATTTATTCATTCCGTTCGATCTTTTTCAATTCCCAGAATGTGTTTCTGAAACTTATTTGGGGTAGAAAGGCTGTTCGCATCAAACTTCAATATCGTCTTTATTTTGTTTCATAATAGATATCAGGATAAGAGGGACTCTTCTCTGGTCTGAATCAAATAAAAGAAAGATCCAATACGCCCAGAACGGTGATATTACTTTAGTTACAGAATATTTCTCTCATGTATGGAAAATACATAAGATAACAGAAAGAACACTAATAATTGAAAATTGCATTGTACATATTGTTGAGCTCATTGATGCAATAGTGAAAAAAATCTCAAATAAGTTCATTTTAGTAATTTTCTACCCAAATAATCAGATGATTTTTGATGCAAGCATATTACCTACCTTTCAAAAACTACTTAATTTTCCTCAGAATCAATTCATTCAGTTTTCAAATATGCATGCAAGAAAAACCATTGCAGATTTTGACGTGGAGTTTCACCGGAAATTGTATTACTTATAGGAATCGACTGCACACAGAAAATTGTACTAGAGGTTTTCATTTGTTGATGTGACTTACAAGTCATAGTTGACACATAAAAACACAAACGTCACATACTCATTTGATGAATTGAAATATCCCCAGATAAAAAATGTCATTGTTCTAAGAAGAGGTCCGATCATTTCCACTAAACTGATGCAACTAGAATACAACAATGTTTCATGCAAAATCATCGATCATTTTGATGAACTTATAGGACAACTTCAAAAAATTGCGTTTCTATTATAAGTAGGTGCATTGTCCAAGATCAATAATGGAATCATGAAAATTTTTTTCGAATATCAAATACATTTTTGTTAGCCATACAAACATTTTCACGCTCTCTTAAAAAAAAATAATAGAAACATTTCCAAGATATTTAATAAGATGAAAAGTTTGCCAGTGTACTTCAATGAAACTAATCAAATTGTTCCACTAGTACCTTCAATTATTGTCCCTTTTGACATATCACAAACATTGAAGCAACTGCTCATATGAAACCACTAATCAATCATTTTGGCCTCCATGACCAATGGCAGCATCTATTTAGGTAAATTTATGTACGACCGTTTTTCTCAGGACTAAATAATCATCGATACAGGATCTTCGAGGTATTCTTTGAAAGCTTTGAGCCATTCCGCACCTACAGCTCCATCCACAGTCCTGTGATCACAACTCAGGGTTACGTTCAGGAAATCGGATGACTTGAATCTGAAACAAACATAGTTACTTGAATAGCCATTGTAACAGAATACTAGGACATACGGTCTATCAATAAAATAGAGTGACATCCTGTCCAGATTTCCAGATTGTTGTTATGGTAGACGTTATTTACGGCTGCATGAAATTGTTTTCAAAAATCATATTCTCTTTTATAAGATATATTTAGCAGCCTAGGGGTGTGATTGATATACAGATTCATAAGATACTGTCTGCATAACGCAATTGGACCTGGTGTTAGATTGTCAAGTTTAAGAAGAATATAGATTACTTGTACATTGAATTTGTTCTCTGTACTGAGCTTCATTGTGCAAACCCATATTCGTTACACCATAAATACGCCAACAGTAGATAAGAGTAATCAAAGTGGTTCAGAATATACCATATTTTTCACCATTAGAGTTTTCATAACTAACATAATAAAATAGGATGTTTTATTGATATGGCCCATTTCATTATAAGGTCATAAAAAAGCACGAACCACAAAGAATTTTGTTCATCTCTTGGAGCGCACGAAAGGAAATAATTTTCGAAGAATACCGTACGTACCTAGGGAGGATAGGAAGAGAAAACTTCGGCATAAGGGGTGAATATCCCTCAGTGGCTCACAACTTGTGAGTATAGGAATGGTGAACCCGAGGTAACCTAGCCGGATATTCATTAAGTGGTGTGGGGAGGACAGAACACGGTCGCTAGACAGATGGCAAGATGGGACAATTTGTGGACATCTGTGGCAAGTATGGGGCTATTTGTAGATATCTGTCTAGGTGGCCAAGGACTGATCAACGAGGCTCTGGCCACCTAATATGGAAACCCGTGGCGATGGATGAATGGCACCGAGGTTTTGTGTCGCTAACGGAGCCTCTGGGAAACAGGGCGACATCTCAGAGTAGGTGCAGATGGCACCACAGGGCTGGACCAAAGCCTTCCTCCGTCACTCGTAGAAGGAAAACGTTTGGCCTTCTTCGTAGACGAGAACAGGGATTGGAAGAGTAATCTTCAGGAGCCTGAAGGAGAAGAGTGTTTCATATCAGTGGCGGCTCGTGACTTTCATGACAGAGGAGGCTGAATGATATGAGATTTATTGTGAAAAACAACTCTCTATTCACCCAAATCAATAGCTTTAATGACATTCTGTTTACCAGTTAACCTGAACTTAATACTTGAAGAGATGTGTTCCTGTGATTCGCAGTGTCTATACAATCCGCGAGCCAAATTTTTCAAATCATTATATCCTCCCCCAACATGATGACATCGGTTGAGAATAATACGCAGTACCAACAAAATAGCTTATTCCTTACGTCAGATCCCGTCAGCCAGATATATTTTTTATAATTATCAGAATTGAACGAACGATTTTGTTTGTTACCTGTTACAATCAGATTTTGTAATTCCGGTGTCGGACGTTTGTTTTTCACAATCAATTTATCTTCATAAGACAAAGCACTGAATGGGTTCACCAAAAAGTATTCCACTAAATTGCAATAGTTTAAAACACTCATTTTTCAGAAATTCATAGAACCCCTAACCATTAACCCAACATAAACATAAACAATGCCTGCAATTCGCGACGCCACACGACAAACACGTGCTATTAGGGCGTATTGGGGATTCCCATTGCGCGAGTGGGTTGCGCTCAAGGTTGCGCTTGCGCATTGTGAAAGGAGTCTAGCCTCCTATAGATGTTGCCAAGTTGAATATTTTACGTGTGATTTGCAGACTTCAACGTGTGATGCGTGGGCAAGCACTGTTGCCAATTTAAAAATATTAACCTAAAAACAGGAAATAAAATCAAAATCCATGTATTTTGGTGTCCTTTTAATGAGAAAGTATAGATAATATCAGTTCAGGGAAAATCTCTGAGGAGGCTCAGCCTCCGTTGCCTCCTCTGAGGAGCCGCCACTGTTTCATATTGAAGTGGCCCTTGATAAGAACCATGAGTCGTATATGGTAAAATCGATAACGGCATACAGTGGCGGATAACCGTATAGGCGGAGAGGGCCCCAAAAGGAACTGTTACCATCTATGAGTACAAGGATGATATGATAATAAAGTTGCGTTCATTAAATTTCTGGAATAAGTGAAAATGGGGGATCGTGCAGACATTTATAAACTTTTTATTGAGGGCTTACAGTCTGTATTTCGGAACCTAGGAACCTTTTCAATTTTTTTTGTCTATGCCCATATGTAATGCCATGCAGCGATGAACCATTTTTTTTCTTACTGAAGAGGGTTAAGAACTAAGAACAAAAAGCAGTTGTTCAGGAATTACTATGATAAACATTTCAGTCATGATGCTTCCTTAGCAGCACGCAGCCATTTCATGTCATTGTATACTTCCTTTGCACCTAAAGTAGAGCCAAAAAACTATTTACTGCTAAAGTTACCCAAATTAGGATTGAAATTCACTTACAACAAAATTTCATACTCAATTGACCCAAACAGCATTCGTACAATTTTCAACAGAAATGAGAATGAAACACTATTACATATACTGTTCGAGCGTCCTATTTACAACATAACGAAACCAAAAGTTGATTGTCTAACGGGTCTCCAATTACTTGCGTTAATGCTAGAAGATATAAATATGGAAAATGCTGAAATAATTTGTAGTTACGTTTCATTTATCATTTATTTTGAGTGAATAACGATAAACTAAATTATGTCTCCTGTCAATATTAGTATAGGTACACTTATCGCTTTAAGTATCACTGTAAACTAAAATTTATGTACGCAACCAAACCCTTGCTGTAACTTTTTGTTTCAAGCAATAAAACTATTATTATTATCATTATTATTATTATTATTATTATTATTATTATTATTGTTATTTGAGAAATAGTTTGTCCCAAGTATGAATGCTTTGCCGATTTTATTCATCGAATCAGAATCAGTTAACGGAATCCATTATAATTCTTTGATAGATACATTTATTATTATCTTTATTATTCCCAAGAAACATACATGTTTATAGCAGGGAAAATTATGAAAGAGCAACTAAAAAACAAAAACTAGATAATCAGATAATCATTTTTAAATCATATACATAATACATATTGCATTCCATCCAAAAATGTGGTTCATTTGGAAAATTATCATATTAAGCTGGTCGTATTTGAAATTGATTGATATACCTATTTCTTGTACCTATTGATTGTTCCTATTATGATGAATTGTTCCTATTATGATACATCCTTCTTGTACCTGGTGAGGTCCCTGGACTCAGGGCACTCTCACACAATCAAATGGGGGATTAGACCCATATGATGTCCATAAAGGATTTCAACCACCTCGACAAAATAAGGGGGTGAATACATTGCCACCTAAAAGATATATTGTGCCCCCTCTTTTGCTATACCCAAAGAGGTTGTTCTCCTTAGCTATAGCAATTTCCCTTGTCACATTCTGTAAGTATGTGGATAGAAGTTTCCTCCTCTTCCCTACAAAACCTGCAATTATCTTCCTAAGATACCCTTTCAACCGGCAGTGCCCTGTTAGGACTGCCATTAGTATATTATGAAGTTTATTTATACTAAGGCTGACTTATGCGTTCGTTCTTTTGTACAGAGTATATTCTGCTGAACATTGGTACACATGTTTTATTTCAATTACAAAAGCGAATAACGAACTACTCATATGAAATCAATGTCCACATTATTAACATTAGTTCTAATAATTGTACATTCAACTCAACAACCCTTGCTATAAAATCTTCAGAATTCTCTTCTGAATTTGAAACGGGCACACAAAATAAAATAAAATCAGTGCATTGTTCATTTTCCCGCATACACTGTTATTATCATGAATAGTATTTATAAAACTAGCTCCTGCACTCATTCATTTATTGATTCATTTTATTTATTAATATTCGCTAATAATGTTCCTTTTGTTCCCCGTTATAAACATGTATATTGTTTCTAGGAAATAATAAAGATTAAATGGTAACATGGTATTATGAAATGATTGGATGAATACCATGTAATGTATAAACAAGTAGGAGTAAACCCATTAGAACCTTATGGTCGAGCATGGGTTATCTTTATATCATTTTTTACAAGTACATGAACATTCAAGGAATGATCACTTTTTGTTCAGGCGGTAACTATAACAAGGAAATATTATGGTGATAATTACATAAATAAAAATAACATAATTAAATAAAATGATGGTTACAGTGACAATAATTGCAATGACATCAATAGACAACAATCCAAGTTAATTTAAGTGATAGAATTATTAAAAAATACAAAACAAAATGTATAGGACGATAACAGTTTCTGATCGTTCATTTCAGTAAGTACAGAATTCAGACTTATTCCATGAGTTTTCTGACCTCTGTTCTAGGTAGATGAAGTACGTTAGGTTTTGAATATTTTTTTCACCAAATTAACTGAGTTCATGGTTCTCAAATACAGCTTGTACCTATCAGGCAATCCATTAAATAGTTTCGATGACAAATATAAGTAGTATTTTTGGCTAATAGTTTTATTAACTGATGGTATTTTGAGGTTATCTTTCAATTTATTACGGGTCGGATAATTGTGATCGACTCTCTCAAGAAGTTTTTTATTATTGTATAGATATACTATCATATTATACAAATATATCTGTCTTATATCCATTACACGTGCCTCCAAAAACAGTTTATCCGATGAATATGAAATCTTTTTAAAGCTCATTATTTTCAATATTCTCTTTTGTAAAACATCCAATTGTCTCGGGTGCTTATATGCTACTCCACCCCAACTCAGGATTCCGTATTGTAGTCGTGATTGTACTAGTGAATAATAAATTGTTTTCAATTGAGCGAATTTCAGAATAATACGTAGGAATTTGATCCTTGGTAGTAAACATCTAATAGTTTTACATAAATAAATAATAATAAATCCCACAAATAATTAAATGTTTTTGTTGATCTAACCTCGTGATCCTATTTCATGCAGAAATCATCTCAAATACATAATGAAAAACAGAAACTCACCCTTTATCAGAACCGGAATCGGCCACCAACTTCTTGGTAGTAGTCCCCACCGCAAGTATACAACTCTGAGGCGGATTGATGACAGCAGAAAAATTCGTAACGCCGAACATGCCCAAATTAGACACGCTGATCGTGCCGCCTTGGAACTCGTGCGGCTGGAGTTTCCCGTCCCGTGCCTTGGCCGCCAACGCTTTCACCATCTTGTTGATTTCGACCACGCCTTTGCGCTCCACCTCGAAGACGATCGGCGTTATGAGGCCCTTGTCGGTCGATACGGCGACGCTGACGTCGACGTTACGGTACCGGCGGATGTAGGAGTCTTGCCATGAGGAGTTAGCTTCAGGTACCTGAGGAAAAATTTGTTGATGGGCGGCAGGCAGATAACTTAATGCAACTCAAGAAAAAAAAACATGAATTTCCCCAGATGTTTCATGATTTTCTCTACTTGTTTCTACAAATAAAACTATGAGTATAATCACAGCATAAGCACAGCCAGCTCTATAACAAGCCGCGGTGAGATAAATGCAACACCGCATGGCCGTGATCCGGAAGTTCTACTCTCGACTGGCTACCACGGCGACATAGGCAGACACTTGTACGTTACCGCTATCCGCACTGACGTAACATCATTTTCTGTCTTCGAAATAAATGATTGTACTTTAATAAAAATAAAATAGCAAGAGATAATAGGTCAGGTCACAGATCAGTATTCAGTTTCATGGATAAAATAAACAACTGGCAAGTCCCATTTTACATCAACCATTCAAGTTATTGCTTGGAGAAAAATTCAAGTTGGAAGATAGTTGTAGTAAGTATCGTTTGTTAGGTGAAATTAAAGAAAAACCTACAGTTCCTCCAGTTCATACACAGAGTGAGAAGTGGCGTATAACATATAAGGCATAAGTATTGTTGCCGACGAATATCTATTTTTTTTAAATGTGTACTTATTTCAATTGATCAACCAAATTTCCAGACTTCTAGAATGAAGTAAGCTTTTTTCACACGATACTTTTTTCAGATATATCAAACTTTTCTATTAAGTCATCAAATGAGCTAATTTTATCTTAGCTGTTTCTGTATCTTGCTAGAATATATATTATATTATATTCTGAAGTTGTGACCACCTACTCAATTTCATATCATAGGGAAAAATCCATTTTGAATCATTGAATCCCAACTTATTAACACCTAGTAAAACTTGGACCTGCATTTCATTCAATACTACAACTTGGGAAGTTAATTTCAATACATCTGACTGTGAACCTAATCAATAAATATGGATTTTACTTTCTGTCTTAAGGACTTTCCAATCCCAACAACTATCAATTTTCATTTTTCTTGCATATTCTCCAACTACCTGCTCGTAATTGAGAATAAGGTCGGATTTTTCAAAATCAACAATTTTTTATTTTGAACAGATAAACATTTCTGACGTCTTTCATCAGGATTTGTTCTTATTGGGGTATGAGGTTTATAAAGATAACTTGGTAAATTTGGAAAAATAGAGGGAACTGCTGTTTCAACTAACTGTGGATATCTTAGAAAATGCTTCCAAATTGATCCGTCTGTTTCAACGAAATGAATTGGACACACTGCGGAATGTTGAGATGGGGACCAATTTTAACGAGGTATCGAAGATATCCACTTCTTTGCAGTTCTTCATTTAAGGAAATATAAAAATCGAAACATATTTCTTTTCCGATGCGTAATTTGACTTACTGTCACACAGCAATTATTTGGCATCTCCGCATGAGAAGGTTGGAATTACTTATTTGATTTCAGAAATAAGACAACAAAAAACATAACCTCAATTCAAAAACAATTTTTGATGAGACTTTTTCACAAACACTCCTTCACTTATAACTCGATCACTAGAATATTCCTCACAGTTTTCAATGGCTGGAGGTAGACCTTCTGAACAGTGTTGCCAGACTGGGCTCACCACTGCTTTCCTCTTTAAAGATGGCTATGGCATAGGGATAAACAGCAGCGTCACTCCGTTGAAATACCTCAGTACGCGCATGACATCCCGCGTTGTGTTGTGGGGATGCAGAGCGCCATTCAAGTAGAACGAGCTACGCGCTAGCCCGCGCTAGTCACCGTTCAACGAGCAAAGCAGTGGTTCAAGGTCAGATTCTTCAACCCTTATGCTGTGGTATTATTGAAATATACTTCATGTTGAAAGGACAAATCAGATGCTCTGCCTCAAAATGTCACTACGTTTGAAAATGTCTTCACTACGTTTAAAAATGTCTCTATCAAGTGAGCCTATAAGAAAAAATCAACATTGTTCAAACAAGGTGCCACCGACGGATTGAATTTCTCTTTTAGGTGTTTAATAGTGAAATTTTGAGCGCAATGACATTTTGGGGCAAATCATCTGATTCATCCTCACAAATATAATACAAACCCTAGATATGCACCGTAAATGTAAGAATGGGCAACGCTTAGTTGGGAACGAACAGAGCGGTGGTGATCTGCTGTACGCATCTATTCCTTATAACGCCGCGTATTTCACCGACTCCGATATTAATATTTGGTCAACGAACCAGCACAGCCGATTAGCCGCCGGTCTATTAGATCCCATCGTAGCGTTGCCAATTTTTACACAAGCGTTGACTATCTAGTCTAGTGTATTCATTATCTTTGGTCCTCTCAACATGTATATTGAAATAATACTAATATTTTCATTAGCAGAGACAAGGAGAGAAAATACCAAACGAAATTAGAAAATTAATATTCCACATCCTGAATTGACCTACAGACAGTATTTATACAGTGTGTTTAACTTCAAGTGGCATAGTACTACATCTTATTATGCATTGATATTGAGATTTAACTTTTCAATAGCCTTCTATGGAAAATAAGTGTGACCCCAAGGAAGACAAAAGCATATTAGTCATTTTTAAATGAAAAAACAAATGCCTCTATCGATTTAGGACATCTGGGAACTACAAATCTCAAGTTTCAATAACCCCGGTAGCCGAAATAGAACATATTATGGTGTGTCATTTGAAATAACGAAGTTGCCAAAATTTCACCATATTTTATTGTCACCCTGTAGATTTTTTTATATAGTCATCGATGTCATTATAGCTCGAAACTTCAAGTGAACAGTAAAAAATATTGCAGTGGTTAAATACCAATCACTGAGGTGAATATGAATTAGACTTATACCAGTCAATCAAACAAATTTTCAAATATTTTAAAAGCAGAAAGATTCCGATTGACTTTTGCCTATATGTTACCAACCATAAAAGTATAGTTATTTGTTTTACTAGGCAGGAAAGTAGTAGATTTACTGCCGCGTCTGATAGTTCATAGCCGAGCGTAATGTTATAAAAACGTTTTTTTTTATTGAAAACTCCATCATTTTGTGTTCACCCAATGTCAGTGCCCATTTTGATCAACAATTCCATTGAAATTACTTGGAACGCTGCATAGCAACAAACTTTTTCTGCCTAGGCAGAGAAAGTACACCTTTCCTGTCTGTTAAGTGTCAGAGAAAGGCCACTTTCTATGTGTGATATCTAGAAGCTCTGTATTGTGTGTCATTGATTATCATTTGTATATGAAATAGCTTTTTGGGGCTTGTTAATGTGGGATTGTCTTCTGAGATCATCTACCTTTAAACCCTGGTATTTCAGGAAAGTTGTTCCTGCTTCGCGGCTGCGTACGTTCCTTTTCCATTCGTGCGTAATATGCTGTTTACAACACGCATTACGTACTAAACTTTACCTAAGGTCATATAATAGTCCGTCAAAACAGTTCGTTTGTAATATTTTTGTTCATGACACTTGCAATGTCAAACGCTGTTGACGGCGAATACGCGATCATGACATACTTGCAGAATATACGAAAACTGTGCGATGTGTTTACCGTGCGTAAGAAGCTATTTACTGAGCCTGTATCTCGTGTGTTCTTGCCTACTTTCCATAGTGGCCATAGGTAAATGTAATTATTAACCTATTTAGAATGGTATAATTTTGGAATTAAAGTGTGATATGATATTTCTTTAAATTATTTGACATTGGTCAAGTTCACTGTCAGGTATTTGATGTCAGGTGTTTCAGATACGATCGGATTTTCAATAAAAACCCACAACGAAGAGTTTGCTGTATTGAAACCTCTTCATTACCCTAATTTGTGCTTTATGCAGTGAGGATATTTTATAATGCACCCGACTTGTCCAACTTCTTGTCATGATAGAAGCTAATTCGATACGCATTTGGTTTCATAATAACATAATCACAAGAGCACAACAGAAAAATGTCTCAATTAGACACTATGACTAATACAGCTCGACTCAAGTATTATATCAACAAGCATAAGTTTTTCTAAGATCAATCCCAAAATTGAGTAAGATGGTTATTGACTTCTTGTTGTCATAATGGAAGCTATTTCAATACGCATTGGGTTTCATAATGACCTAATCAAAGACGCACAACCGAATAAGGTACTCAGTTCGAGACTAGCCTGCGCCACGGCTTTGATAATGCAATGGACGCTCAACTTCACCTCGGTCTCCTCCAACCTCTTGTTGTACTTCTCGCACACCACCAGCCTCTTAAAATCCCCAGAAGTTAAAAAACGAATCCATACCTACCTCCCTAGGTACGCACGATGTTCCTCGAATATTATAGGGATTCCCTTTCGTAGGCTCCAAGGGATAAAAAAACGTATTGATCTCGGCCGTCTCATGATAATGCAGAATGGTCTGCTTGGACTGCAGCAGCCTCTTGGCGATGGTCATAATGACCAGATCAAAGACGCACAACGAGAAAAAGCCACTGGGTACTCACTTGACACTAGCCTGGCCACGGCCTTGATGATGAAATCGGTGACGTTCAACTTCATCCTGGCCTTCTCCAACATCTTGTTGTCATAATAGAACTTGTTTTGATACGCATTTGGGTTTCATAATAACTTAAATCAAAGACGCACAACCGAATAGGTATTCAATTTGAGACTAGCCTGCGCCACTGCCTTGATGATGAAATCGTTGACGTTCAACTTCATCCTAGAATTCTCCAACATCTTCTTGTCGTAATAGAACTTGTTTTCATACGCATTTGGATTTCATAATGACCTGATCAAATACTGACAACAGAAAAAAACTAGCTGGATTCTCGCTTCAAGACCAGCTTGCACCACGGTCACGATGACGCTCTTTTTTTTTTTCAAATCTTCATATAGTACATACCAGTTTTTTATGCCATTTGTAAGATAGTTCCAGATCAGCACGTGATGCTTGTCTCGGAAATTCTTGATCCTACACACATTTCATTATTATTATCCTAATTTGTGCTTCATGCAGTGAGGTTCTCTCATAATTAATCCGACTTGT